ACAAATACGATATCTTTTAATCATTTTCCAGTCATAATTATCTTTCTATAAGTGCATATAGACCGGCGAAGACAATATTCATCATTACATGAAAACAACAATTTCAACATCATATTAGCCGTCTTTTAAGGGACAAATGATAAAAGCATATTACTATAAAATCACGCGTTCTCTTTTATTGACGTTTATTATGATTCAAGATTACACGAATCTGATCATGAATACAGAAAGAGTTATAATATAATCAATTTATAATATTCGGAAAATGTAAACGTTTACTTATCGTGGTTGCTAATTTTCTTTAAATGAGTTGCCTTATATTAGCACCGCAAATATCGTAGACTATTTGGATTAAGTGGAAACTAACATGAAATTTCGAGGGATTGCCGAGACTGGTGATTTGTTTTGTGAGAGTGATTTGTGAGAAGATGTTTATGTGTCATCTCTACAATCATTTTTACTAAAACAATTGTGACATGACAATTTTGAATCAATAACAAAATCTTCTACAACTAAATTTATATTTGTTACCATAAATAAATCAAAAGAGTTTCTAATCAATATATTATCAAATTTTCGTTTTTCTTTTAAAATTATATACAAATTTGATTTCTCATTTAAAATAGTTTAAAAATTGATTATTGTAATAATAAAATTATAGAACATTTTTATAGAATACATATTCTTTTTGAAAATAATATGAAGACTTACCAAATTTTTAAAAGAGATTTTGATATGTTTGTGAAAAAAACTTCCCAAGTTTATAACAACAACATTCTTTTGAAATGTTTTTATTTAACACAAGACAATTTGAAAGTATTAAACATTTCTTATTTCGAAAGCAACATTTTTTTTTAATTTGTGTTTCATTTATAATTTGTATGATTATGTATTTTAATGTTTTAAAATATTAAATAATTTATTTGTATTCTAAATTCTATTTAAGACATTCGGACAAACCAAATTTAACATGTTTACATATATAAATAATTAAAAGGTAAAACTAAATTTCTGATATTTATATTATTAATAAAAACGATATTATTGACAAAAAAATTAACAACAAAAGAATCAATAACAATGTTTATAATAAAAATCAAAAGAACTATATCTCTCACATTTTTAAATATTAAAATTAAAAATAAAACTATATAAATAATTTATCCGCGGGAAAATCAACTAGTTATGAATCAATAGAATGATAAACTTGTTGCCGAATATGTTCTTTAAGTCTTTTACTCTTTAACAAAAAAAAAAAGCTCTTTTAGTTCTATAAACTACAATTTAGTTAATATAGATTTTAAATATAGTTAGATGAAGTCTTGGTAGTTGAGAGATTTGGAGGAGAAGAGGTAGTGGTGGAGTTTGACCTATAAGGAGAAGATTTTCTTATAAAAGACACTGAAAAAAAGAGAACATAAAGAAGAAAAGAGAAGATCTTCACCGCAGAAAAATGTATAGGTAACCGCAGATGAGTCAATACCTGAAGGATTAGAAAACACTTTTAAGCGTATTCATTGAATGTGTCATGTTGTGGTCGAGCCTAAAAACATATTTTAATCTCGCAATATTATTATTTTTTTTTTTCAAGTCAAAATATTCTGTTTTAAATTAATTTAATAGTCAAATAATGATATAATTTAATAATTTAACTATTTTTTAGTTTGTGAAAAGTATTAGAATGAAATTTAATTAAAACGGATGAAGTATTGGAACTTCATACCTTCAGTTGGATAAGTTTAAATACTTACCTAAATCAAAATTTAATTATCGTTAGCTCCAGAAATTGATTTTAAAATTTATTTAAGTATAAAAGAAAAAATATAAGAAGATTTTAGAGATCATTTTATAAAAAAATAAATGGAGTAATTGGAGTGTTGTTAGGAGAATTTCATCCAATATAATAAGCATGTGGAATAGGGAACAGCAAATTGAATTGGGTTGGAGATCGTAGAAATTAAAACCGGTACGGTTTACCTTAAACCCAAAACCCTCCGAATACGGAAGAGAGACCGGCTCACTCTCTGTTAAACCCTTCTTCTCGTCTTCTCCGATACTTAG